TGGTTAAAGACTTCTGGAGCACTCTAATGTGGAGTACTCCTTTTTCTTTTTACATGTTCATTGGGCAGAATTGAGCAGTAAGACGGCTAGCATTCCAACCACAGAAAATAACTTGAAGAACACTACTTTGAAAACCTTTCATTCTTCAATAAGACAGTATATCGACGGTAAAGCCCTATCTGATTTTACGATTTATGCGAGTTTACGAACGGAGTAAGCGGTGAATAAAACGTTGGTAGGGGCTTCCGTACGCTGTGGGTGGGAGAAATTATTTTACGGTACTTTTATCGAGTTAATGATTAATCGGATTTCCTGTACAGCTGTCCAAATGTATTTAAAATTTTTCTGAAAATGTTCTTGACAAAGTAGACTTCCAAACTACTTATTTAAGAGAGGAATAGGACTAGCTGTTTCCAGATCCAAAATATAACAAATTATGAAGCGATTTAACGCTTAGTGATTTTGAAGCGATAATCGATGATATAAACGAAGTTTATACTCATAATGTGAGCAGCAGGGGAGAAATTTTTTACAGAATTTTTTCTTTTTTTTTCTTTCAAATAGGTATAAAGAAATTGTTAACTCTCAATTCAAACACTGTTGAGCTGGATTTTGAAAAAAGACTTTTTAAACTATCTGAATTTAACTGATATTTTGAGTGTAAGAAAGAAACTGATGCAACAGACGGTAGTAATTTTAATTTGTTTTACCTCTTGATGTATTCAGTAAGATTTCTTCGAATATATCTAAAGGGACTAATAAGCTGTTCAAATTTTATTTTTTACAAATTACTTATTGTGCTGGTCTGTCTGCTACTTGTTACTCTTAGATTTGGCTTTTAATAAAAATTTATCAAGTGTGATCTAGTGCCTTCAAATGCTACTGCTTTCAAAAAGACCAAAAGCCAAAATCTCCTTGTTATTTCAACTGTGTACACTCTACAGTACTATGAGATAAATATGACAGTTTAAGTAATTGGGAGCTTTTTTTAATAACTGCAACTTTTATTTATTTTAAGAATGTACTTTTGTGGAACAAAAGTCTGCAATGATTAATTTGTTGAGCGGAAAGTACTGATAATGACATTTACAACAGCAAACAATGATTTTTTGAGCTACTTGATTTTAATTCTTGTTTGAAAATTAAGAACATTGAGGAACTATAGATAGGTTTTTAAAAAGAGTGGTAAACTTTTTGCAGTGGTAAACTTTTTCTAGTTTTTTAAGGACAGTCGAAGCACTTGAAAATTGAATGAAGATTCGAAAAACGCTCACTTACACCTGAGGTTTTTTAGGTGCAACTGGCTGTCTCCAAATGCCTGATAGACATATTACATCAGAGACATGCCGCAAGTTCAGTTCATTGTAGATGAGTGTTTTTTTTTTTTTTTGAAAAAATTACAGGTTACTCAAGGTTTAGGCATTTTAGTTAATTTTGGTTTCCTTTTCAATCACCACAGAGCAGCAATAATTCGCAAGTTGTGATTTATTGCCAATTTTATTTTCAAGTTTTGTGCCGAAAAGACAGTTTTTCTTACTCTTGTTCATTACTGAGTATAAATCTAACCATCTGTTACAGGGAAACTTTATTACTGTCATTTAATTATTTCAGGAAAGACTATGATTATGTTTTGGAAAATCTTCAGTTGAAGTTGAACTGCTTTTCAAGTTATTAAGACCAGATGTCATCCGTACGATTATTTAGATGCTGTTCAAGACTTATTAGCGGTCATTGACATGACAGGTAGCAAAGAACTTTAAAGAATTATTTGTTGTTTAAAAATTGTAGAGTAGCACTGTAAAAAAATTGTTTTAGCCGACAACTCACTCGTATCTCATTATCTGCGGAACTTTTAGTTGAAGTGTTGTTACAAATGATTATTTTTTTCTGAACAGTGTAATTACTGATAGATGTCAAATTTTTCGTTCTAAATAAACAGTTTATTAAATTCATAAAATGCCATTCTTTTTTTTTTGTTTCCATTAAAATTGTTAAGTTCTTGTCATCGTAATACAGTTTTAAGCAAAAAAAAATGCTACAGTTTTTCTCTTTTGTCACCAAGTTTATATTGCCAGAAAAAAAAAAAGTTATTTCTGTTTTATTGCGAAATTTATTTTTAATGTTTATTAATTAGCAGCTAATCAGTTAGATAGAAAAAAATTTTCTTCTATAAAATGATGATGATTAAACCTTGTTTTGAGGAACCTGCCGAATAGCTACTTTGTAGCCGAAAAGTACGAGCCTGGCCCAGCGTCATCAGACTTGTACTTTCATTATTCTCTTTGTTTTTAAGCACTCTGTACGTCAACAGAAACACATACTTTTGTTTTCAAATCAATGTTCACTGTTTTTGCCACTAACATTTGCAGTTTATTAGTACTATACCTTTTAAAACTGCCATATAATAATTCTTTGCATTACCAAAGTAAGTCAAATAAAAACTTTTCTTTTCCCAATAACACCCACTGCAGCCTATTTGATTTCTCGCCTACCTTCACGATGATGTATACAAATTGGTGTTTAAGGTGGAATGAACTGTTAACAATTTATAAATTTATACGCTCACACCGATTATATATATATACCATATTTAAATATATATTCATTTATTAAAATATTATATTTATATTTATATTTATATTTATATTTATATT